CAAAATATTTTCAAATATATAAAATAAAATGACAGAATTACATAAAACTAATAATATTGATATATATATTTATAAAAACATTTAAAATTTATAAATTATGTGTGCTTTTAAATTAGGAATTACTCAAATTTCTAAACTGAGCTGAGTGTGAATAATATTTCTAGATATTTGTGAACAACTTTAAAATTATATAAAAATACACATGATTTTTCTTGGCTATGAAGTCACAGACACTTCAGTGGTGCTGGGTTGTTGCTTATATTAAAAATTGAGGGAAATTCTCAGTTTCTGTTAGAAACCAGTACATATAAAATGATTGTTTTTCTCATCAAAATTCGTGCAACCTACTGATTTCCATGCGAGGATGCATTGGGGTCGATGGGTTGGTAACAAGCTAAGCTAATGCTTTATGGATTAACTGTGTTGTTTGCAACACTAGGCACTCATGGAATGGGCCATTCTACAGGTGGTTGGAATTTTGGGTTCCTTTATAAAACTACCAAATTGTTCCATAAAGCATTCCTTTGCTTTATTTAATATAACCCATTTCCGAACTGCTGCCTTTTCTTGACACAGTACTGCTCCCTGTGCACCAGCTAGGGCTGCTCCAGAGCATCAAGTTGAACAGTTGATGCAGATCAACAAGTGCAGACAAATAAAGATCACAAAAGTTTCCATGACTTTAGAGGATTTAGAGATCCTGGCTGGCAGGATAGCCACTTCCTCTAGACTCCCAGATTGCTTTTGGTGGCACTGGGCCCCAGGACATAACCCACAAAGCTGTGGGCAAAGGTAGGAGTCCTTGGGGCAATGGTTCTGCATGGGGCCAAGAACTCTTCAGCGAGTCAGGGAGGGGGCGTTAAACTGACACAGTTTTTTAAAACTTAGTTGGGCTTAAGTTTCCCTCTCTTCTATCTCACTCTTTCCTTGGCCTTGACTTTCTTCTTTGGTGACTGTTGGTGCCAGGTCTTTGCCTTTACTTGTCCAGTCCCTGCCCCACTCAACACCCCCCTCCCCCCGCCATGCAAAAACATCATCAAAGTATCAACGGTGAGAAAGTATCAGAGTTAATGGCGTTAACATTTTAGAAGGAAATAAGGAGTGAAAAATAAACAAACAGCAAATAAATAAATGATAAAAGGCTCTTTAAACCTTTCTGTAATGAAGATTGGAGGAAATTAAAAGGAGAGAGTTTCTTCAAATCTATATACAACCATATTGCTCAATTTTTTTTTTTTACATTAGACATTACTCTAGCATTTAAAAAGTTAAAGCAGGCAGAGGCCGTGACTACATTGTCACCACTAATATTACCAGCCATTTTGACTTTATCTCGTTTAGCTTATCCGATTCATGAACTCATGTTGTAGAACTGCAGCTGCAGGTCCATCTTCTCTCAGCCTGTGCTCTCTGCACCCATTGGACTTTTTCTATGGCTCTACTGTAGCCCTCATTTATCTGTTTTTCAACTTTTTAAAAACTAAAATACTTGAAAGACCCCTTACTTCTGTTGCAACCAATTTCTGCTTCTTGGCACCATTTCTCAGGATAACACATGGATAATTGTTGATAACTTTATTTCCAAAGTAAATACATCCTCCTCCCCTTTGTTTCAGTTGCTCCACATTTTCTAAATTACATCTCTGCCATTGCCGCTAAAAACTTCAGGCATCTTTGGACTTCTGGCCCATGTCCTAGATTTGGTTACTCTCCTGGGGCTAAAAGAAACACTAGTAAAGCTGTCTGAGAACCACTGCAGGGCGCACAGGACTGGGCTTCTCTTCTTCCTCCTCTGGGACTTGGCAATTCTTGACTCTCTACGACATGAGAAAATATGCAAAAACCCTCCCCCCTAAATTCCTTCTCAGAGCCTGAGATTGCTGCAGACATTCTGTGTGTTTTTGTACCTACTCTATGTATAATGTTAACACCACTAGTGTACATCTTAATGTTTTCTACACGGCCACCATCTGCATGCAAATATGATGCTATGCCCACTCAGTGTTTCTAAGAATATGAGAATAAAAGATGACAATGATCTGCCCAGTCGTTTGCGAGAAAGGGCAATTAAATTGAACCAGAGAAAAATCAGACTTTTGTCCCACAGCCAATATCTAAACATGTGTAGTTCCTGAGCATCTCAAACTTTAAGTTAAAACACAATAGTACATGAATCTACTCCTCAGCCCCCTTCTCACCCACAAATATGCAAACTACACCAAGGTACTCACTGAACAGTTCGCGAGTGGGTCCCTCATGCTGAAATGTTTCTTGCTTCTGTCCGTTTCAGCTGTGCTTCAGCCTTCAGCTTTGGAAAGTCAGGACACCGCCTCAAGGTTGGGTGTGTCCTAGACTTCCTGGATTCAAAGGGCCTTGTCAAACACCCCAAGGAGGAAGTCCCACCCTGAACTTGCCTCCTGTTTATTTACTGAAATAGCAGAGAACTGCTCCGGGTCAAGAGAACTGGCTTGAGATGGTGAGAAAGACTTTTGTAAATACTTAAAGGGCAGAATGCAGAGTTCTGAGCCCTGCAGCCTGTAGAGAAAACCCAGAAGCTATAAAGTGTCTCCATAATCCGGGCGCTCTCAGGGCTGGTACATGTTGTCTTAGCTTGCTGTATTAACCACATTTTTAATTTTCTGTGTGGTAGCATGCTTGGACATATGGAGGCCTTTCTGACCTGGGAAGGCCTGTCCCTCCTACTGTCAGCTAATTCCTAGAAATAGCAAACAACTTGCCCTTGAGCACATCTTTGATATGCAAAGCAACAAATCCAGAGCCCAGACCCCCCTCCCCCATTCTCTATCTAAAGCTCACACACCAGGTCAATATTTCCTTTGCCCTAAATCACCCCAGCACCCAGCACCAATTAGGACCATACCTATATAACTATGATTATGATAGGAGAATCAAATGTTGGAAAAATTTTAGTTTCAGGAAATAGCCACTAAATTTAGTAATCAGTATGTGTAAAAAGCTCTTGTTTCAGGAACTGAAGGTATGACCCAGGTCCCCTGACTACAGGAGACCATAAGCAGTTCCACCTTGGTGCCTCAGGAGGACGGCAAGCAATCAGGGTGGTAGCTGAGCCACTGCACTCCAGGGTGAGGGTGAGACGCCCATCTCCCAGGACACAGATGAAACAATAGTGCAGCTTCTTACCTGATTAACTTTTTCCCTGAATTCCAAACCCCATACCTATACTTTTCTTCTTATAAAAAGTGTCAGTTTAAAATGGAATTGAAGACCATCTATTAGGGTACAAACCCACCATCTTCTCAGATGGCTGGCCATCTGAATAAAGTGTCCATGAAGATTCAATCCCTGTTTCTGCCGATTGGGTCTAGTGGGTAACAGGCAGTGTGAATGCTGGCTTTTCCAGTTTCAGTTATAGTGGAAAATGTCCAGAAAAGGCTATTAAGGTGCAGGGTGTTGAGAGAAAGCGCCTCTAAGGTCAGGATCAATTCTGAAGGACTGACATGTAGCCTTATTCTTCTAAGTCATAGGAGTTTTAATAGAGGAGACATATAAGGGCAAAGCAGCTGCTTCCAGTGGTGGCTGGCCCGGGAAGAACCACACCCCTCCCAGTGCAAGGTCCCTTTTTAAAGGGGGTTAATAGAAGGCATTAATAACGAAACCAGCTAGCAGGTAGTTGTGTGGGCTCCCTTGAGAACAATAAATCACTAAGTTAAAAGAAAAGTTAAAAGATAATATCAGACAGTTCCTACTGTCAGCGCAAGACACCTCTAAACGTGTAAGAATTTTTATGAGTTTACTTGACCCAAACTAACAATAATTGCTGGGAAGCAAAATCTCAATTAATTAAGAAAATGCTCCAGAGAATAGCAGTTTAGTACCTTATTTTATACACCAGAATCAAAAGAAAGGACAGGAGGGAGTTACACAAAATCCACTGATGATAGATTAGGGAAGTGGGAGAAAGAAAAAGGGTGGGGGGACCTCTGAAGTTAGATAGATAAAATGCAAAATGATAAACACATACTTTTACACGAGCGGGTATAGAATAATTAACAGTTAGGATTAAGATAATAATAACAATGAGCCCTGGCTGGTATAGATCAGTTGATTGAGCCAGGCCTGCGAACCAGACAATCGTGGTTACATTCCCATTCAGGGCACATACCTGGGTTGCAGGCCGGTTCCCTGCAGGCCAGTTCCCAGCAGGGGACTCATGAAAGGCAACCATACATTGATGTTTCTCTCCCTCTCTCCTTCCCTTCCCCTCTAAAGATAAATAAATAAAATCTTAAAAAAAAAGATAATAATAACAATGAGAGGATTTATGATCTCTCCCTTGTTCCCGCCTGTGCCTTGAAGGGTCTGGGTAAAGGAAGTTTGATGTTCCAAAGATATGTTATCATCATAGATGCAAAAAGACAACACACAGGCTCATTTAAGGTAAGGATTGACCTCTGTTAGAGAAAAATACTGGCCTAGAACATGACTACCTGCCATGAATTTCTTTTAGTTAATGAGTTTTCATTTCAGACCATCCTTCGGGGTTACTTTAAGTGTCTGGATTTGTAAGGCTGCCGCTCAGGCCTCCCCAGAGCGTGCTGGGTTTCGTATGTGGCCCCTTTTCTTCCACACTGTACTCTGTACATTCACTGACTTCCTTCCCGGGAAGGACGTTCCTTCCCACTGACATTCATCTTTGGGCTGTATTTGGTTTTCAGGGTAGTCAGCCAAATGTGAGGGTACAGAGAGTTAAACAGTCACCGAGCATTTAACATCTTCCAGACGCCTTTGCTGCGGGAGCCATACTGTATCTCTAAAGTGAGTTCCCCGAAAGAGCATACATTAGCCACCTCCGGGGCCCTAACTCAAACCAACTTTCACTCCTAGTTCAACAGGGCCAAGAGGCTAACCTATCAAATTAAGAAGGATTTTTCCATGCTCACCCTCATATTTTTTATTTACTCAAAAGGATAAACAGAACTAGAAATCAGCCTTTGGAAACTTATTTTTTATTGCTTTCTCTCCAGCGGTGGTTCCAGTTATCAATCCTTAGATTTCCATCTAATGGCCTTTGTGACAGTCATTTGCTGGGTGTGGGTGGCCTTTCTCTGACTGGCAGAATCCTGAATCCAAGCAGAGCTCCATCAGCAGAGTCCAGTGGGGCACTTCAGAGCTGTCCACGTGGGCGTGCTGCACTCGTCTGCCTTGGCTCCATTCATTTGCCAGGATCCATTCAAAGTCTCTGGAAATAACAAACGGAGGAAGGGGTGGTTAATAATCAGTAAAGAGAACTTGCCCTGCAGCCAGGCTGCAGATGTTAGTGGTGAAATGACACCGGGATGTTACTGGAGATTGGATCTCACTTCAGCAAGCTTGGTACTGGAGTTGTGGCAAAGAAAGATTTCAGAGCCAAGAATGAAATACAAACAAAAGTTTATTTAGAAACTCACAGAGATAGAAGTGAGCCAGTTGGGCTGCGTGGGCTCTGGAAACAAGTTACAGAGATGAAAGAAGGGCCCTTGGAATTTAGGAGAAAGAAAGCAAGGATTATGCTCCCAGAAGGAAGGGAAGGGGAAAAGGCCTGGCACGCTTCAGAGAGAGCACGCAAGCTGGGGAAGAAGGGGCTGGAGAAAGGCGCAGGCTCGCTGGAGAGGGCGAGAGAGATAGAGAGCTGCGCTACGTCCTCTGTCCTGAGGGTTTTCTTTTTTTTTTTTTAATTTTAAATTTTGGTGTTTATTAGCTCGTTTTCAGTTTCTTTTTTTTTTTTACTTGAATAAAAATTTTATTTATTTTTTTTTAAATTTTAATTTTATTTAGTTATTTTTCAAGTACAGTTTTTTGTCTATTTTTCCCATCCCAGCCTCCCCCGCCCCTTGCTCCCCACCTCCCTCCCATTTCCACCCCCCCCTTAGTTCTCGTCCCTGTGTCCTTCCTATTTGTTCCTCCAAATCCCTCCCCCTTTTCATCTCCTCTCTAAAGGCAGGGACGTAGGAGAAGCCCAGGGGAGGATCTCAATAGAATATTCATCAGCTTGCTAGGTGTGTCCTTTCAGGATCATGGTCTGCTCTAGGGCGAGGGATCATTAGTCAAGGACCCTGGTCCTGACATCAGGTGTAGCACCACCCCTTTTGGCCTTGCTGCCCTCCGAGGTTGTAGATAAATTGGACCAGGGCCTTGGTTCTGAGGGCCAGCAGTGTCTTCCCCCTGCCACTGGCTGCATTTGGTCTTAGCTCAGTGCCAGCCCACTTCGAAATGGAGAGATAGCCCTCCCTTGCCAGTTTCTACAAGAAATGTCATCGCATCACACTCACTGTGGTCTCTGTGGCCCTCGTGCAGACTGGTAGGACATTCTTCCACATTTACTCCTCACGCGTGTCTCTCCCAGCAGCTTGACTAGCTTTCCCGTGGGTGTCCTGGACACCTGCTCCATGAAAATATCTCCATCTCACTAAAGCATCCCTCTCACAGGCTGCTGCAAGGGCGGCATGGTGTCCCAGCTCTGTCTGGACTGAGAATTAAAGCTTGGTTACTTGTGGAGCTTCTTAGAAGGGTGTTTGCAGGCAGAAAATGTTTTGAGTTTAGAGGTCAGAAAGGGGGCTTATCTCTTGTCACAATAATGCTATGTATTAAACAGAAGACCCAGTGGTTTCAAATGACATAGACTTTATTTAACTCACAAGTCTGTGGTTAAGCTGGGTGGCTCTTCTGGTCTGCCCGGTCTCACTTATGTGAAACAGCAGGTCACCTCTACAGCTCTGCTGATTTGGGCTGAGCTTGGCAGGGAGGGCGGATCCACTAGGGAGGTGGTTGGTTATGGGCTGAAGTAATTTTGTTTTTTAAATCCGCCGGCAGTCTAACCCAGCCTGTCCTCAGGTCACGGCAGAGGAGCCAAGAGAGCATGTGGAAGTCAGGCTTGGAAATGACACACTGTATGGATCACTGCAGCTGCATCCAGCAGATCAAAGCCATCAGTTGCAGGCCAGCCCAAATTCAAGGGAATGGGAAGACTTCGCTCCTTAATGGGAGGAGCCGAATGTCTCATTATCAAGGGCTGAGAGGAGGCAGAGAATTGGAACTGGTTTTACATTCAGTCCATTACAATGGCCAGCCAGTATTTGTTCTTGAGTGGCTACAGAGATAAGGGAGAAAGGACACTGGAGGGGGTGGCTAATACATGTCCCTTTCCTTAGCTCATCTTCAGGGGACATGTCTGGAACTGCAGCAAGATTGAGGTTAGTGAGAAAAATAAGAGGAGTTAAATTCACAGAGAGTCTAAATACAGATTTGGAGATAAGGCCGTTCGCCCCTCTGACTCCATGCCCCACCCTACACACAGTCTGCCAAACAGCACAACAAAGAGCACCTCTCCTTGGGGTGGAGGGCAGAGGAGGACAGGGAGCAGAGCAGGCTCTCTAACGTGCCTCCAGCACCTAAGGCTGTGGCTGGCAAGGGCAGCTTGGCAAGGAGGCCAGAGCAGGCCAACCTAAGTACATTTGTCCTTGCCCATGTACGAACCCCCCCAGCCCGCTGACTCCCAGAAATGGTCCAGGGAACCTGGGGAAGGAAGCTGAGCTCCTGTATAAGCAGGGGGAGAAGGACCTTGTAGTTTCAGAAGTAATGTGAACATCACCTTGTTTGCACCTACAGGTCGACGAGAACTGTATATAGGGGAGTATCTCAAAGAAGGTACACTATACTTATTTTCTTAAAAAATTGGTGCCCAAGACATCCTTTTGAGTTCTCTGTCCTCAGGTTTGTCTCTGGCCATTTGTCTCAGGCCCCCACTCATTCACAGGCTTTTTTTTTCCAGCCCAGGCCTCCAGCTTGAGTTACTGTCTGACCTCTCTGATCCCAATCTTCCTGCTTCCTTTCTCAGTTTATGCTCCCCGTTTGCCTTCCTGACATGGCCTCTCTGCAGAAAGAAAACCTGCAATGGACTCCCTGGGGCCTGGCCTGGAAGCCGTTCCACTGCACTCCACCCGTCCTATTTTGGGCAGCCTCCAAGGGAGTCAACAACATGCGCACACATTTGTTAAATGCTTGTAAGGGGGTGTTGGGTATTGGAAAGTTAATAAGAAACAGGAGCCCGAATGTAATAGAGGTTAAGGGTAATTCACAACTAGGCTTGCAAATTTCTTTAGTAGCCAGAAGATGCAAGGAATTGGAAACAGCACATGTATTCAATTCTTACGTATTAAATGGGGATCTCATTAAATATCTTATGGTAACACGGGCTCACATTTAGAGGACTTACCATCTGCCAGGTGCTATTCTAAGTTTTTTATAAATATTAACTCCTTCAATCACTGTAACAGTCATTTAAGGTAGATATATATTATATCCTTGTCATACACATAGGGAAACTGAGGCACAGGGTGGTTAAGTGACTTATGAGGTCTTGTGGTTGGTGGCAGCATAGGGGGGATTCACCCGAATCCGGTGCTTCTGCCTTTGATCTCGATGAAGTCCTGCCACCCGACCTGGACAATGGGGCGCCGAACATCCTGGGATGGTTTAGTTCCATGTGCTGACATAAAAACAAATTGCGAGGAGACAAGTGTGACTCCAGCTTGGTTCACGTACATGAAAAAAGAGATCTAGACACATATATATACACAAAGCAGACAGCGGCGCATCTCGGAAGGTTGGGGTTATGAGGGATTCCCTTTCTAGGACTCATACTGCTGTGTCATTTTAATGTTTAAAAATGTTTTGTTTTAGAAACCAGAGAAGACAAAAAATTTAAAAAGAATAACAGTTATGTTAACTTTAATTCTTAAAATTAAAATGCCGGCAGTAGGCTTTCTTCCCATCACCCGGACTTTGCCCTTCTGCCTTTTTGTGGTCTAGCTGACTTTTTTTAAATCTCTAACGTCCAGCTTTTGTCATTTTCCTCGGACACAGTAAGCACACTCTGCCTTTCTCTTGCTATCTATTACACACACCTCTTCTGATTTATTTATCCCATTATGTTGAAATCACTTATTTAATGGTCTGCCTCCCACACTACTCAGTGAGTTCTGCAAAGTACCCGAAGCAGAGTAAATGTTCAATAAATAATTGTTTTCATTAGACTGGATTCAATACTACTGAGAAAATGACCCCGTTAGATGGTTCCTCTCCGCTGACAAGACTGGGAACACTGTTTATGGGCAGGCCGGGATCCTCAGCTCTCAGGATGCAGAGTCCAAAACACAGAGTGGAGATAAGTGTGACCTGCGGGACAGGAACTCCACAACGGGAAATGGCTCAAATGCACTTGAGAGTCCCTGACACTGACTGAAAAGGGCCTTGACAAGAAGAAAACTGAGAAGGAATCAAGACAGTCCCAAGAGACCCCTTAGAGAACTTGCTTGGAGATTTGTTGGTTAAAAAGATAAACAGATGGAGTAAAAGGAGCCTTGGGACCAAGGATAAAGTCAGACAATGGCTTAACGCTAAGAATAAATTTGGGAAAGCCAGTCTAAAATGAGCCAAGTTCTGCAAAGTTTGCCGAAAACATCTAAGAAAATTTTTCCTCTATTGAAAGCACAAGAAATGTAAAGGGGCAGCACTGTGTTCCGAGGACAGGGTGAGCAGGAGGGCTTTGCCAGGCTGCGGGGTCCAGCGGTGAGCGGGGGCACTTGCCTCCGGGATAGGCTGTGACACGGAGGACGCATCTTGACACACGTTTCATCTCACTTCTGAGTCCTGGACGAAGTCTCGTCCTTGGCCTGTTAGACCTGGCGGAGGACCAGTACCGCCTCTGTGCTGTTTCAAGCTGGTGAGAGCCGCAGACAGGATTTACAGACATGATGTTACTTCCACCAATCACCCTCAGAGGGAAATGTAGACGTACTCTCACTGCAGGTCGATTACTTTTTAGTTTTAGTTTCTGGTTGTTGCAGTAATTAGTTTCCTTAATTTCCATATCTCTCCAAAGCTGGAAGATATATTTCTAAAGCCTTGACTTAATGCATATGCATATGCGTGCATATGTATATGTATATGTATATGTATATGTATATGTATGTGTATGTGTATATGTATATATTTTAAATGTACCTTTGTCCAAAGCCTCAGGATGAAAAAAATCTAATTTAGAAGCACTAATGGGTATTTTAAACTGTAGCAAGAACAGTGGGGGCATATGCAGATACCATTATTGTTAACAGGCAGCCCAATTTGTAGCATCTAAAGTAACTTTCATGCTGTTTGTACTAATTATATTGTGGTTTTTAAATGTCAGAAAATTAGCTTTTTGCTACTTTCTGCTTTATAGAAATTACCTAATTTTTAAATCAAAGTCCAAATGGCCATAATTAACTTAGGGGTGAATTTTCATTGTGCCCATCCAGATTTCATACATGTTAATTTACAATCTCCAGGTGTTAATGGAGAATAAAAATGAAATTGAATAGATTGATTTGCATAAAACAAATTAGCATAAATTTGCTTTTCCCTAATGAGCCCTAGGAAACAAAGACTAATGGACAAGTAATTCACATGAAGTCATCCTACAGCCATGATCTATGGCTTTAACTTCCCCGCAAAAGCATAAAAAATAAGGGTATTTTACAAATACAGATTAGTCCAAATTACATATTTTCATTTGATCACCTATATTAATATTCATGTGGCATTACTTATATTTCCTAAGCTCATCTAGGATAAGTCTTAGGGATTTTAATTAAAATGCAAACTAGAATGTGTGGTATAGAATTACATTAGTCACCACGCAAAATATGAGCTTGGCATTTTTGCATGTGTAAATAAAGTGCCACCGCAGGATTTATTTGCCTTTTTCACCTTGGTTATATTTCCAAGTTATAGATCATTGATTTACAGTTCTTCATTATAAATCATTGCCATGTTATGGAGCTGGAATCTCAGAGAGGAAATCCAAACACTCCACATGGTTACTCTCACAGTTCTTTAGCAGCAGGGACTGAGGAGTTGGGGACATGGACATGGGAAGTAGAGGAGCTTTCTCTTCACTCTATTTCCTTTTGCACACGTGGGATTTTATACGATGTGCTTGATCACCTTTTCAAAAGTATAAACGAATTTATTTTTGAAAGCCACTGTGCACCCTTGCACGTTAAGGGCCGCAGCGTATAAAAGCCTGTTTACTAGTCCACCAGCCCTCTGTGGACATATGAAGTATCTTCCCTTCATGTCTTCTTACTCCAGTTATTAACCCCTTAGTCAGCTTTCCCCACAACTCTTGGAAAAGGTTCTCTGGAAGAATCACTTTTTTTTCCTTCCATTTTGCCTCTCTAGCATTTCACACAACTGATCATTTAGTGGTGTCAGTTCACTCATTCTCTCACTTCAGTGAGGTTGTAGGTGGAGTCGTCTTTGATCTAGGCCAGCGATTTTCAACGGCTGTGCCCCAGGAATTTTTAAAACACGCAGTACCTGACTGTTCAGTCAGGGGCTCTGACCTCTTTTCCCTTCAATCACCAAGTTAAAAAATGACAACAGCCAACACAATAATTATATCCAGTGTTCATGAATTAGAATAATACCTGTATTTTTTGTCTGATGGGCAAAAAATATAACATATTTTTTTGGTGTGCTGCAGGATTTTATTAATTCATTTATGTGTGCCATGAGATGAAAAAGGTTTAAAATTACTGATCTAGGCATTAGGAGAGATACAACGATGAACCAGCCCACGTCTTTCAAGGAGCTCAGTGTGATGAGGGAGGTTACATTATACTGGGATGGATTACATAAATGAAGTTTTTACAGAATTGTGAGGAGAATTCCAAAGAGG